CCTGCAAGTTTCTGGGAGTTTGTTCCAGATATTTGGAGCATAATAACTGAACGCTGCTTTACCATGTTTAGTTCTGACTCTGGGGACAGAAAGCTGACCAGTCCCTGAAGACCTGAGAGACTTGGATGGTTCATAATTTAGCAGGAGATCAGAAATGTATTTTGCGCCTAAACCATTCAATGCTTTATAAACCAGCAGCAGTATTTTGAAATCTATTCTTTGACACACAGGAAGCCAGTGTAAAGACTTCAGAACAGGAGTGATGTGATCCACTTTCTTAGTGTTAGTGAGGACTCGAGCAGCGGTGTTCTGAATCAGCTGCAGCTTTCTAATATATTTTTTGTGAGACCTGTGAAGACACCATTACAGTAGTCCAGTCTACTGAAGATAAAAGCATGGACAAGTTTTTCCAAATCCTGCAGTGACATTAGTCTTTTAATCTTAGATATGTTCTTTAGGTGATAGTAGGCTGATTTAGTAACTGTTTTAATGTGACTGTTGAAACTCAGGTCAGAGTCCATGACTACACCTAGATTTTCTGGCTTTATCTGTTGTTTTGAACATAGCAGACTGAAGCTCAGTGCTTTTTTTTCTTCGTTCTGCCTTGGCTCCAAAAACCATTACCTCAGTTTTATCTTTGTTTAATTGGAGAAAGTTCTGACACATCCAGTCATTTATTTGTTCAATGCACTTACTCAGTGTTTGAATTGGAGCATAGTCTCTTGGTGAAATGGTTATGTAAATGTGTGTGTCATCCGCATAGCTATGGTAACTTATTTTGTTGTTTTTCATTATCTGAGCCAGTGGTAGCATGTATATGTAGTTAAAGAGAAGAGGCCCCAAGATGGAGCCTTGAGGTACCCCACATGTTATATTTGTCAACTCAGATGTGTATTTACCTATAGAAACAAAGTTGTTTCTGTCCTTTAAGTAGGATTCAAACCAATTTAGACCTGTTGATGAAAGTCCCGCCCGGTTTTCCAGTCGGTCTAGTAATATGTTGTGGTCAACAGTGTCAAACGCAGCACTGAGATCTAATAATACTAACACTGAAGTTCTGCTACTGTCTGTGTTTAAGTGGATGTCATTGAAGACCTTAACAAGAGCAGTCTCAGTGCTGTGGTTTGGACGAAATCCTGACTGGAACACATCCAAACTATAGAAGATATTTAAACACCACGCTCAGAGCTTTGTATGAATGAACAGCATGTTTGCGTTCACCTTTTTGAAGGGGTCAGATAAGAAACCCTGATGGTCATTTGGTTGGAGCTGACAAAGCCATACCTCTCTAAGGCGCACAGATGTGAGAAAGCTATTCATGGGCAGAAAGCATCTTCCTGATATTGTTCCAGCAGCGGTGTGGCGCTGAGCCTTTGTGCTGGAGGTGTGAGCGGGCTGCTGGTCAGTCGCTGCTCCGGGCTCAAGGCCGTTCACAGACTGTCTTCAAGGAGCTCATTGTCCTCTCCTGATCGGCCATAATCCTCAGAGTTCACGAAAAACTCCACCAACCTCTCAATGATCAAACACGGCCTTCTTTTTCTTTGGTAAAAATGTCTAATTCATTCAATTTCTTTCCTTCTTTTTTTCAGTTGTATGAATTGGACGATGACGAAAAGCGCAAAGAGTTTCTCGATGATCTTTTCAGCTTCATGCAGAAACGGGGTGAGTGGTTTCCACAGCAATAAGCTTCTTCTTTCAAAAATAATGTTCAGATGTGTACCTTTGCACTCTTTTCCTTATTATTACAATTATTACTTTTCAGTTGTCAGTACCTATTAACAGATACCAAAGCTCCCGATGATTTTTGAAGTTTTTACTTCTCAAAAAGTTGTTTGAGGTCTCTGAGATTGAGTTGAAAGCTGAATAAAAAGCAATGCACTGAAAAAATGCAAACATTGACTTTAATTAAAGGCATTATGGCCACAAATTTCACAAAACTGTATTTAGTTAGTGGAAAGCAATAATATTAAGTTGAACCTAATATTTGTATTCAAACTTAATATTATTGCTTTCAACTAACCTAATACAGTTACGGGAAATATATTGACGTAATACATTTGATAAAGTTAATCTTTCAATTTTTTCTGTGAAACTTTAATTTCATTTTTTTATCAAAACTCAATTCTGACAATTCCAGCTGATTATAGCAAGGTAACCTGGCATGATCAGCTTCTTCTTAGTGAAGGGCAACACCCTGTCTTCTTGTATTGGCCTCTTATGTGTGACGGTGTGTTTCCCAAAGTGAGCATTCAGCTGGCAGCCGCTAGTTTTGTAGGGGGGAAATAGATGCGTGTTAGGACCCTTCCATAACATAAGGAAGTTAACCACCCAGCAGAGAATAAAGGGCCCTACCACTTACAATGAAAGTCTATTTTAGGAGCCCAAGGCTGCCATGTTTTTGTTACTTTGAATTCCTTGTTCGGTACACAATGTCTGCAGATACATAATGTCCTCACCTCTCTTGCCCTTACTCATAATGCACAATGGACATGGCATTAAAACGCGGGACTTTTATTGTGGTTTATTTTCAATAAACAATAATTGCTAACCCTAATCGAGTTCACAACAGAAAATGGATTTGAATCAAAATGCATAGGGTAAACGTTATGTATTTTTATTATAGAAAGCTTAATGTAGAATGAGAATGTAAAAGCTATAATTAAAATCTTTATCCTTTGTGTTTTGAAAAGTCACCTCATTTGCACAACATTAATATTAGCTGGAATGCATTAAAGTTTAAAGATGTCTTTTAATGAGTTGAAATGATTTGTGTTAGGTGATATCTACACATGGATGACATGTGATTTCGGAACAGTTGTAGCGAACAAACTTGTTGGTATGCAGGGATCACCAACTACATTTATCCAAGGGCCAACATTTATCCAATAGACACTTTCGCGGGCCAGCGATTTTTATATAGCCCAGATTTTTGAAGTTGTTGACCGGGGGGGGGGGAGCATGCTCAGGTACTGCAGAGCGCATAAAGCTTTGCAGACTCTTCACGCTAACGAAGGATCACTCTAGGCTACGGTCCCACAGCTCCTGCCTCTCTGTTGGACTCTGTCGCAGCGGGACTACTGCTGCGGAGCGCATAAAGCAGACTCTTCACAACGAAGGAACACTTCTTGTTCAAGGCGGCGGATTCCACATGTCGAATCGGTGGGAAGTCGGCCAAAGGCTGTCGGTCAAATAAATCACTCTGATTGGCTGTTCAGCGAATCAGTGCATGAGAAGCGAAACGGAAGTGAGGGACCCAAACAAACCATTAAGAAGGCAAATCTGAGATTTCATTTAACTTTTGAATGACGAATACACACTACCACCGCCTGCTGGTAAGGAGAGTTATTGCCACTCACGCATGTGCGGTTCGTACGTGCTTCTTGGCCGTCGGCTGAAGTCTTTGCGGTGTGTTCCAGTGACACATGGCCAAGACGCAGAGATGCGAGGCGACACAACAGTCGGGGTCCGTCTGTATCAGGTTACATTACTTCTATATTGTGATACTAACAATTTCATTTAATGCGAATGTCAGAAGATTATATTCATTTTATATTTGTCTTTAAAACATCTGCTATATTGCCAGCTGCAGTTAACACGCTGGATGTTTGACACATTACTGTTTATGAAAATCCCAAAAAGCGAAGTCCGGTTTGAGTCCAGCTGTGCGGTGACAGCTGCAGAAAGCACACGTTTATGAAGTAATGATGTAGTTGGGTGGTCACTTGGGTTTAGAGACGGTATGGATTGTTGTTGGAGCGTTCAATTAGAGATTGATTTTGGACTTAGTGTAAAGAGACATTGTCAGTGCAGAGCAGATCAGCAGCAGCCTATCTCCACCTCTCGCCTCTGACAACTTTGACTGCTCAAATATCCCAATCAATGTTTCTTGAACACATCACTGTCATTCAGCAGAGACAAAGAGATGTCAGCCAGGCTGGCTCTCTGCGCAGAGATCCAGTGAAAAGTGTCAAAAATACAGCGCTCCTCTCACCCTGTGATTTATTGTCTGGATGAATCCGGACCACAGTCATACAGGAGGTTCGGGCTCTCCTCTGAGCTGGACTGCATTGTATGGCTTGTCAGAATTGAGCTTAAGATGCAAATGTAGTTTTTATTATTTTTTGGACATAGATTGCTCACAGTGCAGGTACAGTAGCAGTCACAACTAAACTTCCAATAAAACAAAATGCTGTCAGAGGCTATACTAGTATCTCACTGTGATGCCTTTATAAAGAATTCTGGAATTGTGATTTCCCGATGTTTAAAGAAGAAAATGACACAAGCCATCACTAAAGTCACTGGGTAAAACATATCTAAGCGGGTGGACTAAGTACCATGAAACCACATCCAAGTGACAAGTGCCCAGAGATATTATAGCCAAATACAAAATACGAACAATGATAGAAATACAAATAATGAAATGAATGAATAAATAACTGGCCTTTGGCTGTTTTGGATTGCGAGAAGTGACACTAGCAAGTCTTCAAACTTCCTCCAAAGAAAAAAAAAAATCATTTTTATAATGGCCTTCCAAAGTAACGCATTTGAGTGTTTTTTCATCTCACACTAGGTCAGCAGTGACATTATTTATTTATTTTTGTCAAAGGATCAATTAGTTGATCAACAGAAAACAACTCATCAACTTTTTTGATATTTGATTTATGTTTAATGGCAAAATGTGAGAAAATGCTGTTTATAGCCTCTGAAATATGGAGATTTCAGGTTACACTGGTGACATTTTCAGGTTACTCTCTCTTTGAAATCATAACACAGTGAATATCCCTAACTCTCTTTACTGAATGACACACATCTTCACCACTAGGAAGCAGGCAGCCCAGTTCATCAGCTGTAGGGCTTTGGAGCTCAGGCTCTTTATTCCTCCATGCACACTGTTCACACCTGGTGTAAGCAGAGCCCGCTCAAACAGACATTGCTAAGAACTGCTCCGACTGCAAGCAGAGCACTTCTGACCAAAATCATTTAATCATGGTTGCAAAAATTCAAACATCAGCATTATCCAGTGTGAGGACCTGCTGAGATTCAGTATTAGGACAACTAAATTCATCATAATTGCCATACTGTATACCTTTTGATAGATTTTTGAGAACACCCCCTGTCCACCAGATAATCCACACGAACACTAATTAGAAGTATTAGTATGAAAATATTTGGAATAAATTCAATTGTATGCAATGAATGTACTTCACATCTACCGTGCATATCGCCATTGTTGAAAAAAGTTTAAAGAGCCTGTGACAGCATCCCAACAACTGTTTTGCAATGAAATATTGGGCTACTAGTAATCTCGAACCGTCAGTTTAAAAAAGAAGGTGCGATACCGTTCCGATAAATATCAATAATTTCGAACATCGCGGGGAAATTCCATCGACTCATTTTGAAGTTTTGGGGGAAGCCGGAAGTGACGTCAATGCGGGAATGCTTCACTGTGCGGCGAGAGAGCCAAACACGGAACAAGTGTGTTGAACACACTTGTTCCGTGTTTGGCTCTCTCGCCGCACAGTGAAGCATTCCCGCATTGACGTCACTTCCGGCTTCCCCCAAAACTTCAAAATGAGTCGATGNTAAAGTGGGAAAAGTACTGCGGTGTGAAGGCGGCTATTGAGAGAGTAATGTCAAATGACAGTACAATTGACCAATCATATCTTCCCTCTAAATGGGTGGGCTTTATTTTCGCGGACTTTATGACAAGTTCCACCCGCTGTGAAGTTTATGCATGTGTATAAAGAGGTGCAGTGATGCGTCCTAAAACACGGAAGTGAGCTGCGCTCGGGTTCCCTCGACAAAAAAGCAATGGGATTTCTCCATAGGGTTTGGAAAATAGCTGGAAATAAGGTCTGTGGAAAACGAATCTGTTAGATAAATGCATGTTTTGTTCAGCCTGATAATATCCACATGTCTACCCTACTTTTATTATTTTCTAATCATAAACCTAATCGATAGATTTATGATCGATAGATTTATGATTAGCATAAGTTTGTTCACTTCAGTGATAGTGATGACTTCGTTGCGAAATTATTAACTGAGTCATTTTCAAGATTGAGTTACAATGATAAACTGGAGTGGCAAAGGATCAGCTGCATGACCCGCCATCAAGTGCTTCATCCAAAAGGAAAGGAGGATGGACTTTGTGTTTCAGTGATTTATCATCAAAGGTAGGCCTAGGTCATTTTCAATGTGGGCCGCCGTGCCGACTTCATTCATTTGTAATTGTTACTTGGCTGGGGCTGCCCTGTCATGATAGGTGTTTATATAAATGTTGTTGTTTTGTGTGGTAGAGGGTCGCTGTCATTGATGCGTTTTGCACCCCGGGCCGCTGATTTGATATTCCGCTGAAGTATACGCTCTGACGTAACTCTTCTTTTTTTCCTTTTTTTTCAGGGAAGGGGGGGGGGTCAAAGAGCCTAGGTATAAAAGTCACGGCTCGCCACTGCTCCACTGGGATATGTGTCCATGCTTAAATGTTGAAAAAGTTCTTTATTTGTCTCATACTGCCTGTGCTGCAGTAAAGGGAAAACCCCAAAAAGCAGGAATTGGCCTCTTTATCTACATCAATAATAAACAATGAATAATTGCAAAGGATGATCACACGCACCTCTGTTGTTGAGTTTGATGTTGAGGGGCAGCTGGGAGGCCATGGCCAGCAGGTTCTGCTGCAGAGCGTGCTGCACAATCCTCTGCTGCTCCTCCATAATCATCATCTTCTTCTCCGGCGGCTCCCCCCCCTCCAGCTTCTCTCGGAGCTGCTCCAGAGCCGCCGCCTGGACGGCCGCGGCTGCCTGGGCCTGGGCCGCCATGACTGCTACGTGGTGGCTGCTGTGAGACATGGGGAGACCCCCCCGGCCGGGCAGGTAGCCGGCCATCATGGGCTCCTCTGGAGAGAAGAAGAACAAGAAGGTTATATCTTATAGTCTGCAGGCCTGTGCATGTCACAAGTACCGTCGTGATATTTAAGATCTAGAAATGCACCATTATAATGCACCTGGGAGTATGTAATTGTGTTTTTATTTTATAATTAATTAACCTCGTAATCTGTGGCACAACCATTTCCTAGGTTTCAGATTTCTGGTAAGATTCTTGTAAAGGTTAATTTACTTTAAAACTGATATTGCTGGGCGTTCTATTCCATTAGTATTCAAATCAACTTTGCATTATTTATCATTTGATGCCCAGAATTCTTGCAGATTTTTAACAACATGCCAATGTTTTTGTATATATATGTTTTGTTCCCTATGGTGACAGAAAACTGCTCCCAGGCTCTGACACATGGCAGCCCTTTTGCTTTGACACCTCTCCATGCAAATGGTGCATAATGTGTATTTGGGCCGTAATGTGTCTTTGGGTTCTATTAGCACTGTATATATTTCCATCTTATGATGTTAAAAAAATCATTTTAAACTTTACGATTAAATTGTTCTTGGTGATTTAACATTTAGCCAGATCGTAGACGCCCCTGCAGGCTTTCTGTTTAAGCTTGAGTGCTTTGTGTTGTTAATGCTGGCTGGGGAACATAAAGCAACCAACAAAGGCTCACATGCTGCAGAAGGTGAGAAGAAGAACAACCCATCAGGAACACATGATGCTTGCACATTTTTCAGTTTGTTGATTGAAACAATGCATCCTATGTAATATGTGAACCCCAGCGTAACTACACTGATATCACTAAAAGAGCTGTCTGATGTCTCCATGGCACGCTACGCTGATTACTCAGAGGCTGTTTTCCTCGCGGAGCTGTAATCAAAGCGCTCCTGTGCTCTTCGTGGGGCATTAGTGTGTCTCGGAAAACGCTGATATGAGGAAGTCCTGCAAGATGTTTCCTCTTTGGGGGGAATTGTGACACATATTCCTGACATGTGAACACACTGAATTCTTCTTATGTAGCCGGGGAATCATGCGACTCTTTCTCAAATAGATGTTGTGATCCCTAAAACACATCACGTGAAAGCTTTTGTTTGACAAAGTGTTCATACGGAGGAAATTAATCATCCTTCGGGGTGACAGAAATAAATATTTATTTGGGTGTCCTGCATCATGCCTAGATTATTTTTATCATTATTATTTCATCACACCAACTTCATGCTTTTGTGCCAGATTTCTCTTTGTAAAAAGTACACTGCACAATGCCTGCTGAAGGGTTGGTTTGCACATAATGCTTTAAGTATCCAGCTATTAGTTATCTAACAATGCCATGGTACATTCAGTTTAATGCATATTTACACATTATTATCCCCTTACTCGGTATAACTCTGCGTTACAATATTTATTTTTAATAGACCTGGCTTTTTTATGGTTAAGATACTTTCAATTAAATGTAACACTTCTTGCATCCTCTTATTGAATCCTGAACTAATTATTCAAAGGAAAAGCCCACCAGGACAATAAGCCCCCTTAGCAATATGACCATACATGGAAAAATATTTGCACAGGAAGTTTGGTTTGGTAGTTAGTGATGAGCTCTCCTAAGGTAGAACCAGCTGCAGTACATGAAAGAAAGACGTGGTGGGAGAGATACTCCTTCTGGAGGAAACACAGGCCTTTGAGGACCAGCCAACATGGAGGAAGTGTTGAGTTTGCGTCTTTTTTTTTAAACGTTCAATATTTGATTGTTTCATGAATTTAAACCTTGTGTGGTACCTTTCTTGATCACAGGCACCTGGGAGATATGGCCAGAGTTGTGCATGGGCATGGAGAGGTGGGACATGTGCATCTTTGGTGAGGACAGGAGGGTAGGGGTGCCCACAGGAGAGTAGTTGAAGAGGGCCGAGCCGTAGCTCTGCCGCCGGCCCTCCCTCCGGTTGCTGTCGATGGCTGCCTGGAGCTCACCGGGGGAGCTGAGCCCCCGCTTCTCGCATTCATACGGGTAGAGGTACTTCATATACCTGCAGGGAAGGAGAAAGGGCAATCATTTACTCTGTCACATGTTGTCACTCACTCTTTCATCAATCCATACGTGCAGGGTTGGAGAGACATTGAAAAAACCGTCCCACAATGAAACCATGACACTTCAAAGTACACACTGTAACTGTTGAATCGTTTGCAGGGTTTACCTGAAAATGCTTTCATTTCCAGTTTTAGTTTTTTTTTACAAATAAAACATAATAAACAAATCACCCAATGCCATCACCCTTTAATCACAGAGGGGTTAACATGCATGTTAGTAACAGCCTGTTTTCTCCATTTATCAGATTACTTAAAACGTGTCAATGTCAATTTGAAAATGTTTTCCTTCCTAATCCCAGCGAGTTTCCACCCAACATGTTCACACCTAACTGGGTTGATCATCAGCTTCTTACGACTAAAGACTGCAGACAGGAGTAGAGAGGGAGGATGAAAGAAGGAAGCACTTTACAGAGAAATCTGTCCTCCAATTTAAAATGATCTCAAATATGACTCAAACGAGAACCTGTAGAGTTAGTTCAGTTCCACAGCTGGACGACTGAATATCTGTTGACTTCAGAAACATTTGTGCTGGGAGGAAAAGCTTTGTGTGTTTGACCTCCTGTCAGTTTGCGCTGCAACACACACACACACACACACACACACACACACACACACACACACACACACACACACACACACACACACACACACACACACACACACACACACACACACACACGCGCGCGGAAAGACACAACGTCCTCTATCACCAACAGTTTAAATCAGTTACCCATCATGCCAAATGAAGTGTGATTAGTGATGTGCTGCATCATGTATTCTTCATCTTAAGTAAGCAGCACCCAAACAACTGAAACATTGACCTCAATTAAATGTATCATATCAACAAATGTCCTATTACTGTATTAGTTAGTTGGAAGCAATAATATACATTTTAACAATAATACCTTAAATAATAATTTGATATAATATGTTTACTAAATTGTTGCTCTTTCCACCTTATATATCTCTCAGCTCACTGTGTGTAACTATGCCTCCTAAAACCAACACAGAGACCAGATTCATAAAAGCATCCTGCACCAAGGACGATGCATGCTCAGGCAAAACCCCTACATCTTTACCTTATGTAATTATAGCAATTATCTAGCGTTTAAATCATTGTAAGTGACAACTCCTCACAGGGTCTACAGAGTTGATTCTGCCCTGAAGGCAGACATACCAAAAACCTCCTGAGGGCAATCAATGCAATACAATTCAGGGTTATTTCTTTTGTACTAGAAAGGTATCAAATATTTCATTAAATACTTTTTTTTTTAAAATAACACTTTCCTTTGATGATTGTGTGGTGAGGAATAAAGTGCAAACGCAGTGTAATCTAAGAACACGGAGGCTCCAGATTAAAGGCCGAGCCCTCTAAAGACTATAATTAGCATGAATCACAGCGAGGTAGAGACCACACATGCACTCTGCTGCAGGAAGTGAACATAACTGTGCCTTTCACCTGTCTGGGCACGTAGAATCAAATAAGCCTTTGATAGGCATTTCAAGAACAAATAAATAGTACTGACCCGAAAATCATCATTAAAGGGGCCATCCTGCTCATGTTCAGCTTCATATCAGTGTGCTGTGTCTCCATGCTGCATGTTCAAACAGCTCTTTATCTCTCTCATACTGCTTGTTAGCTAGCCGTGTGATTGGTCAACAACTTAGAGATTTCCCACCCCTTAGCCTATCACGAACAATGTGATGGCAATACAAGCACGAGTGTTACATAGTGATGTCATTATGTTCAGGAAAGAAACAAAGGAGTTGAGTGTGTAAGAGAAACTCAGGGACTTGAGCCTCTGCAGAGCATTTACATGCACCAAAACCTTTATAACACACTACAGGGAAGAGAACACACCAACAAGCAAAATAGGGCTCTTTAAACAATATCAAAGCAGAGAATGTGAGTCATGTTGGACACACACAGTGTCAGTGCAGGAGCTCATACTCACTGTGTTCTCAGAGTGAAAGCTGCACTGGTGATGGAGGTAGGGAGGTTAAGGCCTTTGGTGATCTCACGCCATATTTTCTTATTGATGACTTCCACTAAGCCGCCTTTTTCTGTGACGAGCTTGTAGAGCATGTAGAGATCCAACACCTGCTTGGCCATGATAGGAATGCGATTCACTGGAGTCCCTGCAGAAAGCAAACACAATATCCACAATCAATTCCATTCACTTCGGTTCCTCCGATCAATGGGCTTATGCACCTTCTTATAAGGCCAATTGATCTGGAGCCAGTCACATTTCTGGCAGCTCTGTTAACACCAAGAAATATAACTTTCACAAAAAGTTTCTAATATCTTATATACGCATCCACTGGAAATCCTTTATTGATTATGCATGCTTCATTTCAACAGGAATGATCTCTTGAGGAAACATTGAACATGTGCAGCTATAACCTCACTTAATGATGCAGAGCAACAATCTTAAAAGGGACACAAGCTCCCAATGCTCACAGTAAATATACTGTATTTATATATAACAGACTACATATCAAACATTAAATAAAGGGCAAAAGGTTAAAGGAATAACAACAGCACCACAGATGAATGAGTCTGTTAAAGCCTGTTTAAAACTCACAAAAACAATCTGTAGAAAACGGAAGGTAATCTTCTATTAATGACGGCCAACCTGTCCCCTTATTAGCAGAAAAAAGAGGCGCAGACAATAATTAGTATTTGCAATTTAATGTGAGGCAATAAAGAGCGAACGGCCGGCTCTTTGTGAACATTCCAAAGTGGTTGACCCTGAGATAATTAACCTGCATTTTGCTGATAGAGTTCCATTGTGCCCATCGGATTTACCATAATAGCAATCAATAGCGGCAGAAATATAGTGCAAACAACAGCAGTGGGGCCTTTACAGTGAGGGGGGAGGAGAGCTCTGAAGTATCGTCTAAGGTGGTAAAACCACATCAATTAAGGCCAGTAATTACGGCTTCGTTTCGCGGTGCTGGCATTTGAACGAATGAGACACTATTAAAACAAAAGATTGATGTTCCTCTTCTCTCACGAGACAATACCGGCAGTAAATCTGAAGCTGCACTGCCTCCACATCGCTCTTTGGAGAAGAAAGTGCCGGAGAGGCTTGATTGAGACAAAAAAGGACTTCAGCAGGTTACAGTATGGATGATCCTTCATAACATGAGGCGTATGAGTTTGTCTGGAAAAAGGAAACAGTACTCAAACGGACAAATCTAATCTTCATGATCAAAAAAAGGAAGGCACATGTTGATAAAATAGCAAATAAATGCACATCCAAGGCTAAAATATATACAAATATGTAGCAGCATTATAAAAGTAATAGAGGCAGCAGCTAGTTAACATACAATAATGTGTTTCCTTTACCAGAAACGCGCTTCACTTTCAAAAACTACAAATATAAAAACACAAATGTGGCAAAACACATGCAAAAGAAAAAATATCTTCACCAAATTGAAATCAAATGTGCAGCGTTCACTAAAAGCAGAGCATAAACAAAACGCTGCAAGTAAAAAACCCATCATAACTGTTAGTGATTTCTCAGTATAGTGAAATGACTATGTAAGCTACGTTAGCTAGCTAGCTTAACCCTTAGATGCACGAGGGACTGGACCCCACACTCTTCCATAAGTGGGTCAAAAAGGACCCGTATTAGAACAATATGTGTTTTTATGCCATTTTTGTCATTTTGGTTAAGAAAAATCACTATATATATCACCATTATATTTTGGTTCACACTAGAAATATTTTATATTTAATTTTTCACTATTTATAATTTTAGACATTTTTTTTACATTTTGAAAAAAAAACGAAATTCCATAGAAAATGCATGCGGGTCATTTTTGACCCACTTATGGAAGCTTGGGGTAGTAATACAAAAACTACAATTTCTTAAAATTTAAATTTAAAATTTGAATGGCATGATATCCAAAACATGTTTTTTGAGGAATATGAAATGATAAAAAAAATGTAATTACAAAGATACTCCAAGAAAACCACCTCACCGGGTCCAAAAAGACCCACTTATGCATCTAAGGGTTAAAGCAGATCTGCAATAATATCGGAAGGAATCATGTAATCACATTGTTAAAGTAAGACAATAAAACGTACATTTTAGGTTAGTTCAAGTGACAGTGACAGTAACACGTTTGCACTCATGAGACTACTTACGTTATGGAAATGATTGCAGTCTTTGTATCACAACAGTAAATTATATTTTGACAATAAAGGAAGTCATTAAAACCAAAGGTTAACTTCATGAATGCATGAATTGTGAATAACAAATATATTTGTCGTGTTTCTGTGTCAAATGGGTGGTTGCTAATGTGGTATGAAAACACAATTGTAGTTCTCATAGGGTCTGTATGAAGTGTGATAATTGTCAGGGAGAATTGACAGTAAAATGACACAATACAAAACCAAAGCAGCAGTATATCGTCCGGTCCACCGCCCTCTTGATCTTTATTACCGCTGATTATAATGTGCATCCATGCTTATCTATAAAACTATTATTTTGTTGAAGACACAATAGCCAACCAAACAAGGATTGAGGTAATAAATAAAAGCTCAGCCTTTGTCTGACAGAATGTGAGGAGAGACAAGCCTCTTAAAACAAGAGTTATGTGCTTTCAATACCCAGGGTGATGTATTTGTCTCTCTGATTCGCTGAAAGAGATATCAGGAATAAAAGAGTGAGGATGGAGGCCTTTTGTCAGCACAAACTATCTCATCAGGTCATGTATCATTATTACAATGAGCAATGGTGGACAAGGTGGGAGAAATCCACTTTCAGAGTCTAACAGTGGTCTTCACTTAATCCCTCAGCTGCAGAGACAGAGGAGTTTGTAATTGGAACAATGTGGAGCATCAGGGCTCTAGTAGTGCAGTAATCATCTTTATGCTTGGCTTCATCGCTGATGCGCTCACTTTGCACCCCAAGCCGATAATGGGATGAGAATTTCTCCTCCTCATTGACTTTGCTCTTTTAACCCATGAAATGAACGATTAATGCAGCGTCACAGGGGAAACCAACTGTTTATCTAGCTCTGCTCAAGCGCCGAAATGAAGACGAGGAGGAGGGGGAGCACACAACCTGTCACACATCACCATTTTTCAACACAATTCATACAAAAATCCAAGCAATAATAGACTTGAGTATTGTCTGTGTGTCAGAGGTACCTCGTATGAAGTCAAACAGATTGTGGTAAAGCAGATATATTTACCATATTACCCAGCATGCTAACATTTGTCAATTAGCATAAACACTAACAAGGTAAAGCTGAGACTGATGTTTGCAGCTAAATGGCAATAAAGCTAATTCAATGTTCCACTTGAATAAAGCACATTAAGGATATTTAACACAATTGTTCTTATAGTGCTCATACATATTGAGATGAACTGAAGGACAATAGTGACTGTCATGCTTGTAAGCCGTTTTGTCCAATACAACTATTTGCTTTAAGGTTAAACTGAGCAGAACAATAATAAGATTTTAATTAGTATAATATAATGTTGAACTGTAGTTGACTAAAAAGACTAAAGCTACCATAAATACAGTCACGTGAAATGTGTTGACATAATACATTTCATTAAAATCAACGGTTCACTTTTTTCAGTGTGGCCAATAATAGAACAGCTTGTACAGGCTGGGTATTTCATTATTACCTCCCTTCATTCTAATGGATTCAACCTTGAGTCCTTCAAGAAAAAAGAGCTAACTGCTAGCTTGTCAGAAAAGATGCTTCTTTAGCCTTCTGTTTGTGTGTTCAGAGTCAATTGCTTTCAGGATCTTACGTATCTGTTTAAGAGGATTACCAATATGAAAGCAAAACAACAACTTGGTATGGCTCGTTAAATCACACGGCCAACAAAAACAAGGAATTAAGCAGCGTAACTCAGAGTATTATCGCCGGTGTCAAACTGTGTGGGAAATAGCATATTTTGTCAATAATTTACTTAAATAAACACTTATTATGACAGAACATGAGCACAGGCCTTAGCTTAGTTTCCCCTGCACTGAAAAACTGAAACGTTGACTTTAATTAAAGGTATCATGTCAGCAAATTCCACATAACTGTATTAGGTTAGTTGAAAGCAATGATATTAAGTTGAACCTAATATTTGATTTAAACTTGATATTATTGCTTTCATTTAACCTAATACAGATATGTGAAATCTATTGACATAATACATTCAATTAAAGTCAACGGTTCAGTTTTTTCAGTGTGCCCACTCTGAGAAGACTGCACTAAACAGAGAAAAACATCAAAGAAAGAAAGGCGACTCAAAGGTGAGGCAAAGTAAGGAGGAATATTTAGTGTCACAGCGATCGAACACTTAGCCATTTTTTACAGTAACTCTCAAGTAGCCTTTTCTTTTCCACATAGTATTCTTAAGCAATTAGGTGGGGGACAAAAGTTGACTTATTTGAGAAAAGTGCTGATCTTCAGAGATAATAATCAATTAATACCCACAGCCCAGGGCAACAGTAAATCACCGTGGGTATTTATCAACACACAAAGGAGGCCCTCACAGCCATTGTCTGCTCCTCTTTTGATGGAATCTCTCCGTGAGGATCCCATGTCTCTGCTTCACACTGAACCACCACCACCACCACAAATGTGTTCTGAACATCTGCTGCATGATTCAAGCGATAAAGGTCCCTCCGACAAGATATAAGTTAAATACTGCGCTATCACAGAGGGAATGAAACAGAAAGTTAGACACTCCTCTGGCAGCTTTATTTTCTTAGATATGATACCACTTCATCTTTATCCCAAACTTTAATTTTTATACCAGGAAACTCATTGGCTTTCTTGTCATACAAGGCAACAGGAGTCAAGATCAAGCATCCATACATGACTGAATACAGTACATGTAACTGATAGTGATAACACTGCATTTAAATAATGACTTTGATAGAGAAACTCAATTGATGTAGAAAGTCAGACCTCATATCAGGTCTAGTGCAGTGATGATGTATCTCTGGCTGAAGGGCAAACTATGTAAACCCACTACACTAAAAAAACTGAAACATTGACTTTAATTAAATGTATTATGTCTCCATTTCACATAACTGTATTAGGTTAGTTGAAAGCAACAATGTGAAGTTTAAATACTAAATATTAGGTTCAACTTAATATTATTGATTTCA